GTTTTCAACCTAACTAGCATTTCATTTCTTTTATTATACTTTTTTTTTTTTTTTTTTTTTTTTTTTTTTTTGTGTGAAACTAATACAAGAAAATAATGCTTAGTACAAGGTAGAAATAAAGGAGTGTACATACCACAAGATAAGTCTTCCTCCCCCACACTTGAAACATGGCACTATCCCTAGTGCCCGCCCTCGCCTCCGTAATAGCTTCCTCCAAAACCGCTCCCATGCATGTCATCACCGCCTTCCTCGCCCATGGTAGTATCCCCGCCATCATAGCCACCGCCGCCGGAACTCGAGCCGCCAAAATTACCCCAATCGGAGGGGTTGTACCAAGAAGGTGCCGGTGGAGGTGAGGCCATGGAGGCAAACCCGCCAAGTTGGGACATGTATGAATATGTCGGCCCATACATCCTCCGGTAGTCTTCTTCATACCTTTGCATGTCGGCCGCCCGTTGTTCCTCTATCCTTCGGAATGCCGATTGTTGTTCGGTCCGGAAAGCATCAAATTGGCGGTCTCTTTCTTGTTGCTCGTTCCGGTAGTGGCTTATCTCCCCTTGAAGTTGGGTGAATTGCTCTCCCATCTTTGTGTAGTCAAGGCTCATTGTTTGGAAACCGGTTAAGAGGGATTGTTGACCCGCCAAGAGTTGTTGGAAGAAGTCTTGTGGTGGCGGGTTTTGTGGGAGGTCGGGAATATCATGTTGGAAATGTTCATATCCCTCTTGGTGCTCGGGTTGCTCCGGTTGGAGATTGGGTTGTTCGGGTTGGTCGGCTTGAGCTTGGAGATGAGGTGGAATGTTGTTGGGGAGGAGGTAATGTGGAATGTGAGCGGGTTCCATCTTGTACCTAAGTCTAGGTAAATCATCGCATGGGAGGGGGAAGTATTTGACCGGTTCGGGGTACTTCATGTGCCACCTATATCGTTGGGTTCCGTTGTGGTCTTTGTTGCCCAAAGAGATCAATTGTGCATTGGACAACCATCCAAGATGCATCAATGAATCTCTAGAGATTGGGGCATTATCCACATAGCCAAACTTGGAAGCCAAATGCATGATGACCCCCCCTACAACAATGTTCCCCCCTTTTGTGATAGCCTTTTGTAGATGATCCCAAATCAAGTTGCAAATATTGAACTCAACGGGGTTGCGGAAAAGAGCAAGAGTAAGAATGGCTACATCCCCTATCCGAGTGTGATGGTTGTTGGGGCGGCCGAGCAAAGAGTTGCATAAAAATTTGAGGAAAATCCGGAGAAGGGGATGTTGCACGTGACTAATGTATAGTTGAGACGTGCTAAAATTCCGTTCTCCGGTCATTTTGCCCCAAAGATTGTAAGCATCCATGGTATTGTCCGGGATTTCCCTCTCATGTGGGAATCGGAGCCCGAAATGCTCGGCAAAATCACGTCTCGTTATAGTGTATTCGGTGTTCATCAACCGAAACGAGAGTGTATCATCATAGAAATGGTCATCATCTAACACAAATTTGGCCGAACTTAAAAATTCATAGATGACCCTTTCATTACAATTATATTGCACATTAAAAAGCAAACCCATATGCAATTCATCAAACAATTCTCTCATGCCATCCAACAAACCTAGTGAATCAAGAGCTTCATGGCATAAAAAGCGAGAAGGGATGACTTGCCTTTTTAGAATGGCCACAAATCGCTTCCGATGATCCCCCGGGCCAAATTGCACATCCTCATAGCCTCGGATAGGTCCTCTTGAGCTAGAGCTTTCCGGTTGGTTCCTCTTTGGTGCCATTTTTGAGTAACTCTTGAGTATAGGTTCGGACTTGGGATTTGGGGGTAGGGTTTTGGAGTTTTGGGAATAGGGAGAGAGGGTGAGATTGATTGGTATGAGGTTGTAGAGGGGAGTGAGGAGAGTGTTTTGGTGGTGGTTTGATGGAATTTGGTTGAGTTTTGGTTGAGTTATGGGAGAAATAAGGTGTGAAAATGGAGTTTTTAGAGAGAGAGTTCGAATTTGGGGCAAGAGCTTTGGAGAAGATGAACTGATTTCGGCTAAAAATGTCTTTAAAACTCGTGTACCCGATCGGGTACCCCGATTACTCGATCGGGTATGCCCCCTTTTGTTCTTGTTCCGGGATCGGGCTCGATCGAGTATACCCCGTACTCGATCGAGTTTTCCTCGCCGTAGGATTTTCCGTAAATATACTCGATCGAGTATATTAATATACCCGATCGGGTATATCCTATTTTTTTTAAAAAATGGTTCCAGGTTTGTGTACTCGGTCGAGTATGGGGTATACTCGATCGAATTTTGGCCGCCGTAGGTTTTTCTTGAAATATACTCGATCGAGTATATTAATTTACTCGATCGGGTATTTGGCGGATTTTTAAAATTTGCTCCAGGGGTCGATTACCCGATCGAGTATGATGTATACCCGATCGAGTATTCGATCATTTTTGATATTTTGGCCGATCGAGTATGGGGTACTCGATCCCCCTGCTTCCCCTTTTTACTCTATACTCGACCGAGTAGAACTGTTACTCGATCGAGTACAGTAGCCTGGAATTCGTGTTTGGTCCATTTTAATCCTTTTCCGGCATGGATTCGATCGGGTAACTGATGATGACCGATCGGGGTTTTCCCCTGACGTGCACTTTGTCGTGAGTGCACTCAAAGTAAATTCAGTACAACACTTATACGTAGTATAGTGAAGTAGAGTTCGTATCCACAGGGAAAGAAACACTTCTCTTTTTATAAACTAATTAATAAAGGGGGGGGGTTTTGATTGTTGAGTGATTTAATTAAATTAAACACGAAGATGAACGAGTTATGTGGTTTAATACAAAGATAAAAGGGACTTGGCATTGCTACTTTCCACTTGTTGATATATTTTAGTCGATCATTGTTATATCTATAACTTATCTCCTCTCGAATACTCAATCGAGGAGTATATCCAATTCATCGAGGATAGTTATTAACAACGACCGTTCATTAATAACCCTTACTATTAGCCAAGTATAGAACAAGCGCCGTATACTGACTTGATAGTAGCATTTAATCGCTTAACTCCTTGATGAAATCAATTGAGATCGATAACCTCAACACAAGCGGTTTCGGTTTAACCAACACAATTAATCCCTCTTAAGTCTATTAACCACGACCGTGCATTAATGGACCGAAGTTACTTACTTGTGAAACTATCAACGATTAACCATTGGTTCGTTGATCGTTTCTAGTAGTAATTAATATATGAAACAAAACTAGTTGATCCTTTAAGTAATGTTCAAAATATTAATATGAAATATGAATAGGAATCAATTGATACTCAAGGAAGAATATTAAAGAAGATGAATCCTACTATAATTAATATTAAGATGTTAACTAATTGTCATCTTAGTAACACTCCCCAATATTAACATAGAGGAAGAAATGACTATTACTATAACTAATGTCAAGATGTTAACTAATTGTCATCTTAGCAACACTCCCCAACATTGATATAGAAATAGCATTTGAAGAAAGAATTAATATTCAAGGAAAGAAATTAAGAAAATAACTCACAACTTTGATAATCAACAAGCTTCAAGAGCAATACCAAGAAATGGAGGTTTAGCTCCTCATTTGGAGACTAAACATGCTAAAAGAAATATAGAGAAATGCTATTCTAAACTGAGCTTAAGAGTATAAAGGAATTGGTTCCCTAAAGTGAAGGAAAGGAGGTGTATTTATAGGCTTTTTGAGGTGCAGGCTCGGGTACTCGATCGAGTATATACAGATACTCGATCGAGTATGTGTAGAAATACCAGATTCGAGGTATACTCGATCGAGTATATGTTCATACTCGGTCGAGTATGTGCAGAAAGTGATATTCGAGCCATACTCGACCGATTTCGGGTTTAAACTCAAAGGCATACTCGATCGGGTATGTCGGTCTACCCGATCGAGTATAGATACTAAATCGTGGCCAAAATCTTCCCGGCATGTTCCTTTGTCCTCGGATCCGATCCGATTTGAAGTTTCAACCTTATACTCGATCGAGTATAGGTAATACTCGACCGAGTATAGACCAAAATCAGGATTTCCCTTTTTTTCTTGTGATTTTGCACCTTCCTTCCACTTTTGGGGTTCACCAACTGTCCTTTGAGTGATGGTAGACCTGTTTGAGCTCAGAATGACCCTAATCTAAACAAATTACAAGAATTCAACAAACTAAACTATTACACCAAAAGTGTGTAATTTCCGAAATACTAAACAACCAAAACTAGCTAAAAACGTAAACATACATACGGAAATTACAAGTGTATCAACTCCCCCACACTTAGTTCTTTACTCGACCTCGAGTAAAACAGAAACATCCAACCGGTTTAAGAGTTTTCCAAAAGTTCAAGAAAGAAGGAAACTAAGACCACCAGGGGAAAAATGAGTTTTTACAACAACATTCTTTCTAGGGTTTAATGATCTTCTATGCTCCATCTTCTTGCCCTTTTTTTTTCTTCTTTTTCTTCTCTTCTTCCTCTTTTTCTCCAAAGAGATTAAATGAGTGCATGCAAAAATAAATATTACTCTCATATCTCTCATTTTGCCTAGGAGCCTTTTCAGGTTTTCATCCTAGCATCTCTTTTCATTTTCCATTCTCCCAACTCACTCATCATTTTTTACAAGCCTTTTTTTGCTTAGATTGCCCATTTTGTTGGGTTTTCAACCTAACTAGCATTTCTTTTCTTCATTTTTTTTGTTTTTTTTTTTTTTGTTTTTTTTTTGTTTTGTTTTTTTTTTTAAAGAAGTTCATGCGTAGTAAAAGGTAGAAAATAAGATTACATACCCATGATGAGTCTCCTCCCCCACACTTAGTTCAAGCACTGTCCCTAGTGCCCAATTTCGGCTTTTGTTGTTTGTGGAGTAAGGTGATTTTGATTTTTGGTGGGTTGTGGGTGTTTTGGTGGAGAAATGATGGAGATATGGTAGAGGGAAGGTAGAAAAAATGGAGTTTTGGGGAGAAGGGGTCGAGGTGTTTGGAGAAGATGAAGTGTTTTGGGGTGTGTTTTGGGGTTAAGTTGCAGATTTACCCGATCGGATACTCAACACAGGGGTTCGAGTATGAAGTTTTCCAGTAATACCCGATCGAATATGGCTTAATACTCGATCGGGCCTTCAAGACAGGGTCTGGTAGGTTGATTTTCCAGACATACTCGACCGAGTATATGTCCATACTCGATCGAGTGCTGGAAACAGGCTCTTTTTGGATTTGCCTTTCTGGACATACTCGACCGAGTATTACTGATACTCGATCGAGTATGCCTCCAATGTTTAAAATACTGACCATTTCGCTCGAGTATGGAACTCGGTTCTCCCTATTTTTACCCATACCCGACCGAGTATGGAAGATTACGCGATCGGGTATGTCCCCAGATACACTTTTTTTTTTTTTTTTTTTTTTTTACACACGCACACATACTGAAATAAACTGAAAAGAAAACATACCTTGCTTGGGTTGCCTCCCAAGAAGCGCCTAATTTAACGTCGCGGCACGACGCCATCATTGTGTTCAATCGTTCAAGCTTGGATCGTGATACTTCATCTTCTTCAAATTTTCACCCGGGTGACTCTTATAGAAATACAATATTTTTCGACCCTCTATTTGGACAATCTTTCCGGGATCAAATATCCGGATTTGTATCGCTTCATATTGTGAGAGTGAGGGTCCATGATTTTCTCTAAGCATGGTCAATGGAAGGGGTTTTGATTCGGGTGGTATAAGAGGGAGTATGAAATATTTGTGCAACTCCACCGTTATTCCTTGCTTATTTGTGAACAAAGAGAAGTCTAAATTATATTCACAATTGCGGAAGATTTCATAGATATCTTTGTCCTTCTCCACCCTTTGTGTTTCATTTAGAGCCTCCGGAATTGGTGGCATGATCTCAGGAATGGCCGATGGTTGAGTTGAGTTTTGAGGTTCCTCCTCCAGTTGAGCTTTCTCCGTATTCTCCTCTTCTTCCTCCTCCTCGCTCATGTGGTTCACAATGCTTGGCATTTGTTGCGCTTGATTGTCCAAGTTCTGTTCGTTGGACATTGTTTCTTGCGGGCATTGTGACACATTTTGTTGCATATTTGTCACATTGATAGTGAGAGATCGGATCATGTCTTCAGTGGACATGCTAGAATAAGAACTTGAGTATGGGTTATATGTGTTGGAGAATGAATCATACCTCTCTTGGAAACCAACATCATTCCTTTGTTCAAAGTATTCTTTTTGAAGTTCTGGGCAAAAATCCGTAAGATGTCTGTGTGACATGCAAATGTTGCATGTATGGACATCTTGAGATTTTGAACATGAAATAAACTCCTTTATTAGAGAAGTTAAGACGGAAATTTGCCTTTCTAGGGATGATATGTTGGTATCCATATACTCATGTAAGCTCAGAAAATAGAAAAGTAAGATTTTGTTTTTTTTTTTTTTTTTTTTTTTTTGTTTTTGATTTTTATGAGATAAAATAAAAAGAAAAATAATTGCCTTTCCCCGGCAACGGCGCCAAATTTGACGTGCACTTTGTCGTGAGTGCACTCAAAGTAAATTCAGTACAACACTTATACGTAGTATAGTGAAGTAGAGTTCGTATCCACAGGGAAAGAAACACTTCTCTTTTTATAAACTAATTAATAAAGGGGGGGGTTTTGATTGTTGAGTGATTTAATTAAATTAAACACGAAGATGAACGAGTTATGTGGTTTAATACAAAGATAAAAGGGACTTGGCATTGCTACTTTCCACTTGTTGATATATTTTAGTCGATCATTGTTATATCTATAACTTATCTCCTCTCGAATACTCAATCGAGGAGTATATCCAATTCATCGAGGATAGTTATTAACAACGACCGTTCATTAATAACCCTTACTATTAGCCAAGTATAGAACAAGCGCCGTATACTGACTTGATAGTAGCATTTAATCGCTTAACTCCTTGATGAAATCAATTGAGATCGATAACCTCAACACAAGCGGTTTCGGTTTAACCAACACAATTAATCCCTCTTAAGTCTATTAACCACGACCGTGCATTAATGGACCGAAGTTACTTACTTGTGAAACTATCAACGATTAACCATTGGTTCGTTGATCGTTTCTAGTAGTAATTAATATATGAAACAAAACTAGTTGATCCTTTAAGTAATGTTCAAAATATTAATATGAAATATGAATAGGAATCAATTGATACTCAAGGAAGAATATTAAAGAAGATGAATCCTACTATAATTAATATTAAGATGTTAACTAATTGTCATCTTAGTAACACTCCCCAATATTAACATAGAGGAAGAAATGACTATTACTATAACTAATGTCAAGATGTTAACTAATTGTCATCTTAGCAACACTCCCCAACATTGATATAGAAATAGCATTTGAAGAAAGAATTAATATTCAAGGAAAGAAATTAAGAAAATAACTCACAACTTTGATAATCAACAAGCTTCAAGAGCAATACCAAGAAATGGAGGTTTAGCTCCTCATTTGGAGACTAAACATGCTAAAAGAAATATAGAGAAATGCTATTCTAAACTGAGCTTAAGAGTATAAAGGAATTGGTTCCCTAAAGTGAAGGAAAGGAGGTGTATTTATAGGCTTTTTGAGGTGCAGGCTCGGGTACTCGATCGAGTATATACAGATACTCGATCGAGTATGTGTAGAAATACCAGATTCGAGGTATACTCGATCGAGTATATGTTCATACTCGGTCGAGTATGTGCAGAAAGTGATATTCGAGCCATACTCGACCGATTTCGGGTTTAAACTCAAAGGCATACTCGATCGGGTATGTCGGTCTACCCGATCGAGTATAGATACTAAATCGTGGCCAAAATCTTCCCGGCATGTTCCTTTGTCCTCGGATCCGATCCGATTTGAAGTTTCAACCTTATACTCGATCGAGTATAGGTAATACTCGACCGAGTATAGACCAAAATCAGGATTTCCCTTTTTTTCTTGTGATTTTGCACCTTCCTTCCACTTTTGGGGTTCACCAACTGTCCTTTGAGTGATGGTAGACCTGTTTGAGCTCAGAATGACCCTAATCTAAACAAATTACAAGAATTCAACAAACTAAACTATTACACCAAAAGTGTGTAATTTCCGAAATACTAAACAACCAAAACTAGCTAAAAACGTAAACATACATACGGAAATTACAAGTGTATCATCCCCATGCCTTGAAAATATTATTTTTCCCTCATTTTCTTCTTGAGAATTTCATCCCATTCTCCCAAAAGTTGACATCTGAAAACAAACACAAAAATGCGTACCTTTGCTTGGGTTGCCTCCCAAGAAGCGCCTTAGTTAACGTCGTGGCACGACGCCATAGTCATGTTCATCCTTCATAGATTGGATCGAAGAGATCCATGCATTCAACGCTCTCTTTTTGGAAGCCCTCAAGGAATGGCTTGAGTTGATGTCCGTTAACCTTGAAGATTTTATCGGTGTCAAGGCTTTTGATCTCAACCGCTCCATGTGAGTAGACTTTGACCACCTCAAATGGTCCTTCCCATCGTGATCTCAGTTTACCGGGGAAAAGACGAAGGCGTGATCGGAATAGAAGGACTTTATCTCCAACTTGGAAATCCTTCCTTATTATCATTTTATCATGCCATACCTTCGTCTTTTCCTTGTAGATAGCGGCATTCTCATATGATTCAAGTCTAAGTTCCTCTAGCTCTTGGAGTTGTAGTTTTCTTTTCATCCCCGCTTGCTCCATGTCAAGGTTGAATGTTTTTACCGCCCAATAAGACTTATGTTCGAGTTCGACCGGGAGGTGACAAGCCTTCCCGAACACAAGTCTATAGGGGGACATTCCAATTGGTGTTTTGAAAGCGGTTCTATATGCCCACAAGGCATCATCCATGCGAAGACTCCAATCTTTGCGGTTAGGATTCACCGTCTTTTGGAGTATAGACTTCAACTCCCTGTTTGAGACCTCGGCTTGTCCGTTTGTTTGTGGATGATAGGCGGTGGAGAGCTTGTGAGTGACGCCATATTTCTTTAACAAGGCGCTCACAGTTTTGTTGTAGAAGTGTGTGCCCCTATCACTTATCAAAATGCGTGGGACTCCAAACCTTGAGAAGATGCGGGTTTTGAGAAAGTCCGCAACTACTTTGGCATCATCGGTCTTTGTGGCTTTTGCTTCCACCCATTTTGAAACGTAGTCCACCGCCAAGAGAATGTATAGATTTCCGTGGGAATTAGGAAAGGGTCCCATGAAATCTATTCCCCAAACATCAAATATCTCCACATAGAGCATAGGAACTTGTGGCATCTCATGTTTTCGAGAGATGTTCCCCATGCGTTGGCAATTGTCACAGGATTGACAAAAGACATGGGCATCTCGAAATAAGCTTGGCCACCAAAAACCACATTCAAGTACCTTCATGGCCGTTCGCTTTCCTCCAAAGTGGCCACCACATGCATGTGAGTGGCAAAAGGCAAGAATGGATGCTATCTCCGTCTCGGGAATGCATCTTCTAATGACTTGATCTTTGCAATGTTTCCACAAGTATGGTTCATCCCATACGTACTGTTTTGCATCGTGTTGGAGCTTCTCTCTTTGAGCTTTTGAGAAGCTTGGTGGAAACCTGTTTAGAACAAGGAAATTAACAATGTGAGCGTACCAAGGGCGAATTTCCTTAAGAGAGAAAAGAGTCTCATCGGGAAATTCCCCTCGGATATCATCTTTGACATGATCATTTCCTTCATCAAGGACTAAACGGCTCAAGTGATCGGCCACCAAGTTCTCCGTGCCCTTCTTATCCTTGATCTCAACATCAAACTCGCTCAAGAGTAGTATCCACCGAATCAACCTCGGTTTGGCCTCCTTCTTTGTCATTAAAAATCTAAGAGCCGCATGATCGGTGTAAATGATCACTTTGGTTCCAAGTAAGTATGATCTGAATTTTTCAAGTGCGTAGACGACGGCCAACATTTCTTTTTCGGTGGTGGCGTAGTTGCGTTGAGCATCATTGAGTGTGGTGGATGCATAGTAAATCACATGAGAAGCTCTTCCCACTTTTTGGCCCAAGACGGCCCCGACCGCATAGTCGCTAGCATCACACATGATCTCAAATGGGAGAGACCAATCGGGAGCTTGGATGATAGGTGCGGTTACTAGCTTTTCCTTCAATGTATTGAAGGCCTTCTTGCATTCTTCGGAGAAGATGAATTCCACCTCCTTTTGCAAAAGAGTGCATAAAGGAGATGCAATCTTTGAGAAATCTTTGATGAATCTCCGGTAGAAACCTGCATGTCCAAGGAATGACCGTATCTCCCTAACGGTGGTAGGATAAGGGAGTGATTGGATGACTTCAACTTTGGCCTTGTCAACCTCTATCCCTTTTGAAGAGATTACATGGCCTAGAACAATTCCTTCTTCCACCATGAAGTGGCATTTTTCAGAATTCAAAACAAGGTTTGATTCTAAACAACTTTTGAGCACAAGGGAGAGATGATATAAACGTGAATCAAATGAGTCCCCATGGATTGTAAAGTCATCCATGAAAACTTCCATAAATAGCTCAACATACTCGGAGAATATGCTCATCATGCATCTTTGGAAGGTGGCGGGCGCGTTGCAAAGTCCGAATGGCATACGTCGATAGGCAAAAGTGCCAAATGGACAAGTGAAGGTTGTCTTCTCTTGATCTTCAGGGGCTATGGGCACTTGAAAGTACCCGGAATAGCCATCAAGGAAGCAATAGAATTTATGCCCCGCAAGTCTCTCAAGCATTTGATCAATGAAGGGTAAAGGGAAGAAATCCTTTCTAGTTACCGCGTTGAGGCGACGGTAATCTATACATACCCTCCATCCATTTTGAATTCGGGTGGGCATAAGTTCTCCATGTTTGTTCTCCACCACCGTGACTCCGGTCTTCTTGGGAACAACTTGGGTTGGACTCACCCACTTGCTATCGGATATGGGGAAGATTATCCCCATTTGGAGAAGCTTGATGACCTCCTTTTTGACCACCTCCATCATAGGTGGGTTCAATCTCCGTTGTGGTTGGCGCACCGGTTTGGCTTCATCCTCCATCAAGATGCGGTGCATACATGTAGATGGACTAATGCCTTTGATGTCGGCTATAGTCCACCCGATTGCAAGTTTGTGCTCTTTAAGCACCGCAATGAGCTTCCTTTCTTGCTCCCCGGTCAGTTTGTTTGAGATTATGACCGGTAATGTTTCTTTTTCTCCCAAGTACACATATTTCAAATGTGTTGGGAGTGGTTTCATCTCAACTTCGGGGGCCTGCAAAATAGAAGGCAAAGGCTTTTCCTCGGGGATGGTTAGTGGGAATGCTCTTGACCCCGGTGGCATAAGTGG